TATTGTCTTAACAATCTAAAAAGAAATAAATAAAATAAAATGAGAATTGAATTTGAAGAAACAAATGAGATTGTTAAAAAAAAATTACTTTATTCTAGTCATTTTTTAAAATATTTTAACATACATTACATAATATCTGAAGTAATAAATAAATTAGCTATTTTAATGTTTTTTTCAAATACAAAGCAAAAAAATATAAGTATAATTTTGTCGTTACCAAAATCGTTAAATTTATAATTTTTTTATAAAAATTATATAATAAAAATGTAGTTTTAATTGTTTAATTAAAATTGGTATATGATGCTCTTTTATGTATAAGTGTTTGATTCAATATGACAAATATGTATAATTAAGTAACATACATATTTTCTAGTTATGTAATGCGTATATATATATATATATATATTATACATTTTAATTTTGCAACATACTTATTTTTTAAGTTATCATATAAGCAATATTCTTGTTATTAAAATGTTATATTTTTATATATAAATATAAGAAATGAACAACAAAAAATATATTAATATTTAGCAGAAAAAAAAAAGAAATGTGCTCTCTTTGCTTCTATATCTCTGAATTTGAATATTTATTGACCTACGCTCGAACGCCATATATTTCCAATTCTTATTAATATAGTCTCATATAATATAATAGCAAAATCGCTCTTACATATATATTTAAAAACATTAGATAATGAATTATGAAAATAAATATTATCAATTAACTTTTAATTTAATTTAGTTTTTAAAAATCAGTAAACATAATGATTGGTAAAAGAGAGATCAAGAAAATGTTAAAAAAGGATATTAGCTTATAACATTTATAATTTCCTGATACTTTCGATGTTATTAATATTATTGCCATGTATTTGCAGCAACCAATTGTAAAATCTCTTGCGTAGTGCGTGTATTACATCATATAAAAGATAATTTAAAAGATTAATTGTTTGCAATTTGAAGTTCTTAAGATTGACAGAAGAACTAGTATAATAATGTAATTTAAAATGTTGAACTTTATTTTCTCGAGTTATTCACATCGATCTAATGTAACAGTTTAGTGTAAAAATTACTTAATCGGTTTGAAATTGACAACGACAGAACGAAGATAAATAAAATCATTTTCTTCTCTTGTAATATTCTCCTAATCTGAAAATTTACTATGGAATCATTTATGTTGTTTTCGATTATCTTTTTAGCAAAAATTTGTCTATATTCTTATACTTTATATAAGTTGTCTTATTTCGAGCTGAAGATTCCACATGACTGATCGATTCTATTGATAAGCAACATAGGTTGTATTGTTTTTTCGACATATGGCTTTCCCAAAAGACTACAAAGATTATGCAAACTCTTTTCGGATGTAAAATATTTTGGTTACTACGAGTTTATAATATCAACTTACGTTATTCGCGATCCAAATCTATTCAATACAATTGTCATTAAACAATTCGATAACTTCTGCGATCACGGTACTTTTATAAACCTTTGGATCCAATAAAAGATTTAGTAAAAATTTGTTTGACCTGAAAGAGAATTAGTGCGTGAGATGTTTTATGGAAGCTTCTTAATTCTAGTTTCACAGCTAGCAAAATAAAAACGATGTTTGAACTTATGTGTCAATGCGCCGAAAACTCTATTGATTTTATGATAACGCAATCTAAAAAAAAAACGGAAAGTTATATGACATGAAAGTAATATGAACAGATATGTTAATAATGTAAATAATGGATTTAATGAAGTAAGAATTGATCCAATGTCTTTCAAATACAAAACAATTTTTTATACAATTATATAATGAAGAGTGTTATTTTAATTAAAAACAGTATACACAATACACATTTATAATTTTATATAATAAAGAATAATGTGCATCGCATGTTTTTACGCATTTTTTATGGCTCAATGATTCATTTTTGGCATCATTAATCAGATTTATTACTTATTATTCAAATCTGTTTTTATGTTTTTAACGGACATACGACAATAAGAATATAAGAGTATAAGAATTAATTTTTGAATAAATATTTTTATTCACAAATAACTTTATATAGTTTTCTCATAAATATAATATTAGCAGTCATTAAGTACTTATTTTAATAAACAACGAAAAAACAAATCAGATACATAAAAAATGAATAAACAAAATTTTATTTATATATTTATCATAAATTTATCATAAATTTTATCATAAATTAAAAAAATTATATTTTATATTATTTTATATTTTATATTATTATTTAGAATTTTTTCACATCTTAAATGTAAAAAAAGTCAATATAGAAAAGAATATAAATTTAAAGAAAGAAAATAAAACTAATATTTTTTAAACTTATTATCTTTAAATATATATTTCTTTCCTAAAAATATATAATGTTGAAAACTAAATGGCGCGCGCATAAAATTAAAATTCTTAAAATATCTAATTCTAAAATATTAATATATGTATAATCACATTTTAAATATGTAATCTTAAAATGTTCTAATAAATTTCTAATTAATAATAAAAATAATTAATTTTATTACTAGTAGTTGTATTATTTTTTCATTGATCCTTAATACATTAAAAAGTACATCAAACATACAAGACAGAAATGTAAAAAATATTTTTATCACATACTTTTATCATATACTTTTATCACAATTAATAAAATTTACTAATAAAATATAAAAAAAGAATTCAAATTACAAGATGATAAAATACAAGACAAAGGTATTTTATCATTTTATTCAAAAGAATTCAACGATGTCATTGCAAATATACATATGATAAGAAGTATTATCATCTGATTTTTAAGTTAATTTATTCGAAAAATGATTTAAGTTTACAAATACGCAAACACAAATGTATGTCAAAAAGATGTTCTGGTGATCTTACCTTATGTTTATATATACGTACTTAGTGTTTTCATCGCGATGTACGTATCAGTTGCAGAGTCACTTTCGTAATGCGTGTATCATATAGTAAAATAATCTAATTTTTTTAAATAAGGTAAACAAGTTAACTACTTGTTAGACAAGAAAGTGCTCAAGATAAGTGATAGAACTCACGTAATAATGTAATTTATAATTTTGAGCTTCACCTTCTTGCGTTATTTACGTTGATCTAACAATCAAATATAAAAATTATTTAATTCATTTGGGAACTGACAATGATTGGAACATAATCAGAAACTGCTTCTTCTATTGCAAATAATTTGGAGATACATATTGCAATGGAACCGTCTACGTGGTTTTTGGCCATCGTTACAGCAAGTATTGGCTTGTATTATTATATTCTATACAAGTTGTCTTATTTCGAGCGATTGAAAGTCCCGCATGAGCGCCCGACTCCACTGATAGGCAACATGGGCTCTTATATTTTTCGACGTATGTCCATTCCAGAAAACATACAAAGATTATATAATCTTTTTTCGGATGCAAAGTACTTTGGTTTTTATGACTTTATGACACCAACATACGTCATCCGCGATCCAGATCTAATCAATACAATCGCTATCAAACAATTCGACAATTTCTGCGATCACCGTAGTTTTGCAAATAAAATTTTGGATCCAATGGCCAGTAGAAATCTTTTTGACTTGAAAGGGGATTACTGGCGCGAGATGAGGAAAATCCTTAGTCCTAGTTTCACATCCAGCAAAATGAAGATGATGTTTGGACTTATGTGTCAATGCGCCGAAAATTTGGCTGATTTTATAGTAACGCAATCCGGAAAAAATGGAAAGTCATACAATATGAAAGAAATACTAAGCAGATATGCCAATGATGTAATTGCCACGTGCGCTTTTGGTATCAGTGTGGATTCTTTTAAGCATCCTAATAATGAATTCTTTTTAGTAGGTCAAAAATGCAAATTTGACAGCTGGTTAACATTCATATTCGTCGTGCAGAGGAATATTCCCCTACTTGCAAAGCTTTTAAAACTGAGAATGTTTGGTCCACATGTAGAAAATTTTTTTAAAAATCTTGTTTCTAACACGGTGAAAATCAGAGATGAACAAGGAATTGTTCGCCCGGATATGATTCAATTGATGATGGAGTCTAGGAACAAAGATACCAAACTTGCATATGACATCAATGAAATGACTGCCCAAGCGTTCGTTTTCTTTGTCGCCGGATTCGATGCTACGTCAACAGCCATGTGCTTCATGGCGCACGAAATTGGTGTCAATCCTGATGTTCAAAACAAATTGAGGGAAGAAATCGATAATGTCCTTAAACAAACTAACGGCAAACCTACCTATGAGGCTATTAACCATATGAAGTATTTGGATGCCGTAGTAAATGAGACTCTCAGAATGTATCCACTGGGATCTTTTATTGATAGAAAATGCGTTAAAGAGTATGAATTGCCACCAGCGACCTCGGATGGCAAACCGATCATGTTGAAACCTGGAGATAACATATGGCTTTCACATTATCCTCTACATCGCGATCCGAAGTATTATTCACAACCGGATAAGTTCAATCCAGAAAGATTCGTCAATGGAGAAATAGACAATTCGATCTACATGCCATTCGGTATAGGACCCAGAATGTGCATAGGTAATAAATTCGCTCTAATGGAAGCAAAAATCTTGCTGTTTTATTTGCTATGGCACTGCGATCTCGAGTCTGATGTTAAAACTAAAGTTCCTATGGTAATAAACAAGCACTCATTGACTATGTTAGCAGAGGGAGGTTTCTGGTTAAAAGTACGAGCGAGAAAATAGAAAGCTCTTATTACTTAACGCTTATCAAATGGACATGATTGGAGAACAATGTCGAATATACTTATAATTTATTTTGAATCATATATTTGAAGTTGTCCTTTTAAAATTTCAAAAAATTTGAACTTTTTTCTCTATCATATGTTTAAAAAGATCATAAAATTAAAACCAAAAATTGATAAGTCATACAATCAATTGTCTAAGAAAGTAGAATTTAGAAAAAAAATTTAGAATTTAGAGTTATATTCTAAACCGTAATATTTAGCTTGAATGATATAGCTTTAATATGGAATAATTTTCACATATTTATATGTGTATGTGTATGTATTAGAGTAAGTAATAATGCATGATAACTGTTTATTTTTCATTATTTTATGTTATTCTTGTAATTCATTATATTTCCAAATTGTAAATTTATATTGGATTCTTAAGTTAATAACAGTTACATAATAAATTTAAAATATTTAATACAAAACAATATATTAATTTACATAAAAATGTTATATAAATTTACCTAAGATTATACATATATTAATATTTTAATATTAGATATTTTAAGAATTTTAATATTATGCACGAGCCACTTAGTTTTCAACAATGTATATTTTAGAAAGAAATATAAGTTTAATAAATTTAAAAATATTAGTTTTATTTTCTTTTTTTAAATTTCTTTAAACTTATGTCCTTTCCTCTCTCGACTTTTTTTACATTTAAGATGTGAAGAAATTCTAAATAATAATATAAAATGTAATTTTTTTAAATTTATGATATGATAAATAAAAGATAAAAATGAAGATTAGATTACTTTTCAATAGTTTTGATCTTGACATATATTGTCAATATCATGACTCTGAGTAACTTTCAAAAAATTTTAATCGTTCCTCATTAAAAAGTTATAATCATAAAAAGTTATAAAAATTATGGTAAACTTTTAGAAAAAATTTTTATTTTATTATAATCTTTCGCCTTGAAATAATAAATAACTAATAAAATAATAAAATAACTAAATTAATGAGTCTATCATATACTAAAAGAATAAATTTGAAAAAAATGAGCAAAGACTTCTATGCAAAGTTTATGTTTGTGTTTGTGAGTGACTTATTATTTAATATTTATCTTTAACAGGACATAGGATTTCGAAATATTTTCTATATTTTATATAATCTACTAATTGTATTACAATTAATAGATTATATAGAGAGGCGTTGCCCCAACTCCCGACCAAGAAGTTTCGCTCTCTGGAGTCCTGATCAGGAGGCTTCGCCACTGGATCCTCACCATGGATCAGTGCTCCCCGACCGTCCCCCCGTGCTAATTTTATTACTCGCAATATTACTATCTTTTTAGTGATTTTTTATAATAAATAAAAAATACATCAAGCATAAAGAACACAATATATACAAATAAATTTATTATGCTTTTATCACAATTAATAATAAGTAATAATAAAATAAGTAATAATAAATTTAATAATAAAATATAAGAAAAAAGTTTAATGATAAAATACCGGAAAAAATATTCTATTCGAAATAATTCTATCTATCTTATTCAGAAGAATTGAACGATGACATTGCAAATGTGCATATGATAAGAAGTATTATCGTCTGACTTTTAAGTCAATTCACTTGAAGACTGATACAGTTTAAGTTCACAAATACGCGAACATAAATGTACGTCAAGAAGATGTCCTAGTGATATTATCTTATTTATATAACTGCGTATTTACAGCGTTATTATTTTCATCGCAGTGTACGCGCAGCAGCCAGTTGCAAAGTCACTTTCATGGTGCGTGTATCGCAAAGTAAAATAATATAATTACTACGAGTTAACTATTCGTAATCAGACAAGAAAGTTCTCAAGATAAGTAATAGAACTCATGTAATAATGTAATTTACAATTTTGAATTTCACTTTCTTGCGTTATTTACGTCTAACAATCAAATATAAAAATTATTTAATCCATTTTGGACAACGATTGGAACATAACCAGAAACTGTTTCTTCTGTTGCAAATAATTTGAAGATACATATTGCAATGGAACTGTCTACATGGCTTTTGACCATCCTTACAGCAAGTATTGGCTTGTATTATTATATTCTATACAAGTTGTCTTATTTCAAGCGATTGAAAGTTCCGCATGAGCGCCCGACTCCACTGATAGGCAACATGGGCCCTTTTATTTTCCGACGTATGTCCATTCCGGAAAACATACAAAGATTATATAATCTTTTTTCGGATGCAAAATACTTTGGCTTTTATGACTTTATGACACCAACATACGTCATCCGCGATCCAGATCTAATCAACACCATCGCTATCAAACAATTCGACAATTTCTGCGATCACCGTAGTTTTGCAAATGAAATTTTGGATCCAATGGCTAGTAGAAATCTTTTTGATTTGAAAGGGGATCACTGGCGCGAGATGCGGAAGCTTCTTAGTCCTAGTTTCACGGTCAGCAAAATGAAGACGATGTTTGGACTCATGTCTCAATGCGCCGAAAATTTGATCGATTTTATGATAACGCAATCTGGAAAAAATGGAAAGTCATATGACATGAAAGAAATATTAAGCAGATATGCCAATGATGTAATTGCCACGTGTGCTTTTGGCATCAGTGTGGATTCTTTTAAGCATCCAAATAATGAATTCTTTTTACTAGGCCAAAAATCGAAATTTGACGGCTGGTTAACCTTCGTATTCTTTATGCAGAGAAATATTCCCGCCCTTGCAAAGCTTTTAAAACTGAGAATGTTTGGTCCATATGTAGAAAATTTTTTTAAAAATATTGTTTCTAACACGGTGAAGATCAGGGATGAGCAAGGAATTGTTCGTCCGGATATGATTCAATTGATGATGGAGACTAGGAACAAAGATACCGGACCTGCATATGACATCAACGAAATGACTGCCCAGGCGTTTGTTTTCTTTCTCGCCGGATTCGATGCTACATCAACAGCCATGTGCTTCATGGCGCACGAAATTGGTGTCAATCCTGATGTTCAAAACAAATTGAGGGAAGAAATCGATAATGTCCTTAAACAAACTAACGGCAAACCTACCTATGAGGCTATTAACCATATGAAGTATTTGGATGCCGTAGTAAACGAGACTCTCAGAATGTATCCAATAGGATCTTTCATTGATAGAAGATGCGTTAAAGAGTATGAATTACCACCAGCGACTCCGGATGGCAAACCTATTACGCTGAAACCTGGTGATAACATATGGCTTTCACATTATCCTCTACATCGCGATCCGAAGTATTATTCACAACCGGACAAGTTCAATCCAGAAAGATTCGTCAGTGGGAAAGTAGACAATTCGATCTACATGCCATTCGGTATAGGACCCAGAATGTGCATAGGTAATAGATTCGCTCTAATGGAAGCAAAAATTCTGCTGTTCTATTTGCTGTGGCACTGCGATCTGCTGCCTGACGTTAAAACTAAAGTTCCCATAGTAATAAGCAAGCACTCATTTACTACGTTAGCAGAGGGAGGCTTCTGGTTAAAAGTACGTGCGAGAAAATAGAATGCTCCTACTATTTAACGTTTATCAAATACATGTAATCTTCTCAACTATGAGACAATTCGCATTGGCTTAGACCATAGTGGAAGGAGAAATGGCACGCACGCGTTTTACAATAAACTGAACAATGATAAAGATAGACGTGCATTGTCTGCACCGTAGTGTTGCTGAGAGCTTCCATATAGTAATATTACATATATCAAATGGACATGGTCGGAAAACAATGTCGAATATATATTTATAATTCATTTTGAATCGTGTATTTGAAGTTGTCCTTTTAAATTTCAAAATGTATTTGAACTTTTTTCTCTATCATATGTTTAAAACGATTATAAAATTGAAACCAAAAATTTATAAGTCACACAACCAATTTTCTAAGAAAGTAAAATTTAGAAACCATTTAGAGTTATATTCTAAAGCGTAATACTTAGAATAATATAGCTTTAATATGGAATAATTTTCACATATTTATATGTGTATGTGTATGTATTAGAGTAAGTAATAACGCATGATAACTGTTTATTTTTCATTATTTTATGTTGTTCTTGTAATTCATTATATTCAAAATTGTAATTTTATATTGGATTATTAAGTTAATAACACTTACATAATAAATTTAAAATATTTAATACAAACAATATATTAATTTACGTAAAAACGTTACATAAAGATTTACCTGATTTTGATTTACCTGAAATTATACATATATTAATATTTTAATATTAGATATTTTAAGAATTTTATATTATGCACGAGCAATTTAGTTTTCAACATTGTATATTTTAGGAAAAAATATAAGTTTAAAGATAATAAATTTAAAAAATGTTAGTTTTATTTTCTTTTTTAAATTTCATTAAACTTATGTTTTTTCCTACACTGACTTTTTTACATTTAAGATGTGAAGAAATTCTAAATAATAATATAAAATGTAATTTTTTAAATTTATGATATGATAAATAAAATATAAAAATGAAGATTAGACCACTTTTCAATAGTCTTGATCTTGTCACATATATTGTCAAGATCATAATTCTGAATAATCTTCAAAAAATTTTAATCGTCGGACGTCTTTTTTAAAATGTTGCAATCATAAAAGTTACAAAAATTATGGTAAATTTTCAGAAAAAATTTTCAATTTATTATAATCTTTCGCCTTACTGAATGTGTCTATCATATGCTAGAAGAAAGGACTCAAAAAGATGAGCAAAAACCCTTACGCAAGGTTTGTGTTTGTATAACTTATTATTGAATATTTATTTTATTGCATCTTTAATAGACACAAGATTTTGGCTTATTTTTTATATTTTATATAATCTAATTGTATTATCGCGGAGGGGAGCTCCGCTCTCTTTCCTCCATCGGGAGACATCGCCCCTCGAATCTCCGATTAAGGGGCTTTGCCCCCTCGACTTCCAATTCTACGCTCCTAGGTCCCTAAATGCTAATTTTATTACTCGCAATATTACTATTTTTTCATTGATTCTTTATAATAAATAAAAAATATATCAAACATAAAGAACACAGAAATGTAAAAAAAAATAAATGTATTATGCTTTTATCACAATTAACAACAAAATTTAATAATAAAATATAAGAAAAAGATTTAATGATAAAGAATATAAAAAGAAATATTCTATTATCTTATTCAAAAGAATTGAGTGATGACATTTCAAATATGCATATGATAAGAAGTATTATCGTCTGACTTTTAAGTTAATTTACTTGAAGAATGATAAAGTTTAAGTTCATAAATACGCGAACACAAGTCATACATCAAGAACATGTCTTAGTAATATTATCTTATGGTCTATATTATCTGCATATTTACAGTGTTTTTAATTTTATCGCGATGTACGCGCAGCAGCCAGTCGCAGAATCACTTTCATGGTGCGTGTATCACAGTAAAATAATCTAATTTCTACTTCTACAAGTTAATTATTCGTAGTTAGACAAGAAAGTTCGGAATATAACCAAAAATTACTTCTCCTGCTGCAAATAATTAGGAGCAGGATACATATTGCAATGGAGCCGTCTACGTGGCTTTTGACAATTCTTACAGCGAGTATTTGCTTGTATTATTATATTTTATACAAGTTGTCTTATTTTGAGAGATTGAAAGTCCCGCATGAGCGCCCGATTCCACTGATAGGCAACATGGACCCTTTTATTTGTCGACGTATGTCCATTTCGAAAAACTTACAAAGATTATATAATTTTTTTTCGGATGCAAAGTACTTTGGCTTTTATGACTTTATGATGAATATCTAATCAATACAATTGCTATCAAATAGTTCGATAACTTTTGCGATCACCGTAGTTTTACAAATGAAGTTTTAGATCCAATGGCCAAAGAAATCTCTTTGACTTGAAAAAGGATCACTGGCGCGAGATGCGGAAGCTTCTTAGTCCTAGTTTCACATCCAGCAAAATGAAAACGATGTTTGGACTTATGTGTCAATGCGCTGAAAATTTGGTTGATTTTATAATAACGCAAGCCGGAAAAAATGGAATGTCATACGATATGAAAGAAATACTGAGCAGATATGCCAATTTAGACTTTTATTCTAAAGCGCAATACTTAGAATGTGATAACTTTAATATCGAACAATTTTAACATATTTATGTATATGTGTATTTAAAAGTAAGTAATAACGTATAATAATTGTTTATTTTTCATTATTTTATGTAATTCAATATGTTTTAAAATTATAAATTCATATTGTATTCTTAAGTTAATAAACTTACATAAAACACTTACATAAAAAATTTTTAAATATTAAATACAAAATAATATGTTAATGCATAAAAATATAAAGTGAAAATTGTACGTGATAAATTATATAAATAAAATTGTGCAAAGAAAATACCCTCATTATATTACAAATAAGAATTCCTTATGTAATCTATTACGCTACTATAAATATTTAGTTATAAAAAAATATGTTAATTAATTTTTTGTCATATATAAAAATAATGACTTTATATTTACAACAAAGTATAATATTCGTTATATATAATAGTTATAATATTAATCAATTTAATATGTTTTTATAAGTAAAATATATTAATTAAAGTAAAATATATAAAATACAAATCCAAAAGCAGTATTAATATACTGTTAATAAAACATTTATTTTTTCTTGTAATTTTATTAGTTATGTTATAGCTGGATAATTTTATAACATTTTTTTGTTTTAAATAAATATTTCGTTATATTGTTCAAAAGTATTCAACGTAATCTAACTCAAATGAGATCCATGTATCTTTAATTAACCTTTAACTTAATTCAACTTCAAATGTGATAAGTTCAATACATCAATAATAATAATCTTGGAACATTAAGATAGCATAACTCCTTGTTTTTTCCGCTCCAAGTAGAAGATTGTTGAAGTGATGCGATTTTACGACATTCACATCTGCGCACTTGAAACAGAAGTAATCGATATGTGTAAAGAGAGAGAAAGAAAGAGAGATACAAAGAGACAGAAAGTAGAAAAGTAGTAATCTCATTGTTTAATTTTTGTGTATTTTCCAATAACATATCATAATAATAAGTTAACACTTATTGATTGGAAACGTTGTTTTTTAGTTTCTACACAGAAGCTATAATAATACTATTAATAGACATAAAGTAAATTTATTTATATCAAAATTAGCAATTTTGTTAATGTTTTATATTAATAAATGTATATCAATTTATTAATCAGATAAAAATTATTTGCAATCTCAAATCTAATGTTAAGGTTATAGTTTATATAATATTGAATAAGAAAGTATTCTTTATGACGACAGAAGATTTATGATTAAAATTACATACAGGAAAATCTATAAATGTTATTATGCGCAAATATTTACTGATTGGAGGTTTAAAACGTATCCATAATTTATATATAAGAATCACTTTTAATAAAAATTATATGTAAAGTGGATTATATAATTTTCATAATTGCATTTAATAGTAATATAATAATTGTATTTAATAGTATAAAATTATGTATAGTTTATACATAATTTTTATTCGAATTTGAAGAGAGAGAGAGAGAGAGAGAGAGAGAGAGAGAGGAGGAGAGTAGAGAGAGTAGTAAGTAATAAATATATTATTATTATATATATATA